CAGAGGAAGCCATCCATCTCCTCCTCTCCTACTGTGACTGCTACGACCATAGTTTTTTTGGTTTCTGGCTTGATCTCCAACATATATACATGTAATATATGCTAATTTTGGAATAAAATGTTTCGAAGGACCAAATGTTGATGTTTATTTATATTTAAAGTTTTTAGTTTTTGGTGTGTGTCTTTTAAGACACGCGGTTGCTATCTATCTTTGCTTAAACTTTTAGATAAATTAATATTTATTTATATCATCATTACTGTGGGTTTTCAATGAACATAAAATTTTCCATGATATTTGGCACGTGGCTTAAACCATTAGTTTCTATTAAATCACTTCGATAACGTTTTGGGATGCAAAACAAAATATTTATTGATGTCTGAAAATAGACTTTTAAATTCATTAGTTTCTACTATTTAGATATCCTTTTTAAATTAAAGTTTTGTATAATAAAGCCAATTTGGAAATAAAATTTTGTTAACTAATAAAAGGAAAAAATAACATAGAATATTTATTTGATAAAGGAAAAATATATTTTTAATTAGTTTCTAATATAGGAAATAAAATATTTTACAAAGAATATATTTTTATTAATTTCAATTATAATGTACATTACAAAAATTGGTTTATTAATTTTATTAATTTCCATTATTTAAAAAATCATAAAATTATATATGTGGATATTAATTTCCATGTAGAATGTCTAGATGACTTCGTTTAAATCATAAAACCAAAATATGATCACACGACTGAAGCTGGTTCCATTTAGTACGACGACCAATTGAGCCGAAGCCGTAAAATAGTCCGGTTAAGCCAAAACTATAAATTCCAAGTCGTAAATTAACTAAAATCAAAGAGAGTATTGAATTCCGAAAAAATTGAAAAAATGGAAAGAGGAAAATTAGAGAACTGATTTTAATGACCAACAATTATAAATATTTATACTACGGAAAATAACCTTAACCGAATAATTCGAATGCTAAACGATACTTTATAAATAGCACATCACACTTCTTAAGATAAACCATAATTTCATCTCCTATCCAAAATATATATATAAAAAATCCAAAAGACAAAAACACATGCACATAAGAACTGAAACCGGATTGCCCATGTGAAAAGATCGAAATAGATCCCATGAATCCCTTAGTAGTCGTTTATGGTAGAAAATTTGCGGTAAAACATGACCAGCAGTTACTTGACAGTCTGCAATGAGTTCTTCGATGGAGGGTATTCGTTATTTTCCACATTTCTTGGTTCATAACTATAAATCTGTTTATTTCTTTTATTTTTTTCCTGAAAAATTTCTGAGATTTTTTTTGTGTGGTTTTGTCACATATAAGCGATAATATTCATATAGGGACTCCAAACATACCAACAACAATAATCAGAAATAATAAATATAATCGATGTTTGAGCGATTTGGCCTCCGTTCAATCTTACGTGAATGTTTCTTTTTTACTCCCTCCGTTTCAAAATACTTGTAGTTTTAAGTTATTTTTCATGTTTCAAAATATTTGTCATTCTACATTTTTAAGACATTTTTTTACAATAGTTTCCAATTTTATCCCTATTAAATTTCAATAAATTATTAATGATAACATTGTGTTTATCATTAAATAAGGGTATATGTGACTTTTTTTTATCTTTTCTTAAAAAATGTAAAATAACCTAAAACGACAATTATTTTGAAACGGATGGAGTATTTTATATATGTTTCTTTTTTATTTTATATATAATTGATGCGAACTTTTTAATTATTTTAATTATAATATAATGTATTGACATTTTTTTTATGTAATGCTTTATTTTTATGTGTACTTAATTACCATAACATAATGAGATGCCAATATATATACATATATATAATGGTGACTTAATTCTATTTATTATCTTTTTAATATATAAAACTAAGATTAAAAATAATTTTATTTAATAAAGATAAACAATAAAAATAATTTTATTTAATAAAGATAAACAAATTATATATAATTAGTGAAGATTTTAAATAAGCAATTTAAATTAAAAATATTACCACGTAGATACCTAGGTGGATGTTGAGGTGGGTATGTAAAATTATAATTTTTGCTTAATATGTACATACAAATTTCTCATAATTATAGTAATAGTGTAATTTTAAGTTTTGAGATATGCATATATATATATTTATATATATATATATATATAATGAGTAGTAAAATATCGTATATATGTAACATGTTAGTTGATTTATTTGCGTTAATTAATTTAATTTGCTTTATTTTGCAGTCCAAGGGGTTTTTTTTAAGAAACGTTTCTTAATAATATGAGAAGAGCGGAAAGAGATATAAATGAAAGATAACAATGTAGGTATAACAATGCAATATGATGTTGAATTCAACAGATGTCATTCGAACTCGCCAGATTTCTTGACCTATAACCATTGGCTCCAAAATACTACCCATAACCAATCGTGACACATAACTATTTATTAATTTGCATATCAACAGATGGTTACACCAGATTGCAGTCTATTTGTATATGATTTTTTTCATAAAAATGTTATTATATACATTTTAATAAATATTTATTAATTTATTAATCAATATATACGCATAAATGTTTTCATCAATATTAACTTGAAATGACTAACAAAATAAATGACATCAATAACAATTGGATGACCCACCATATTAAAAAAATATATAAATATTTTGAGAGATTAACGTGATATTAATTAATATTTTCAAAATATTTTAGCTCCTTTAGATTTATTCAAAATAATACGTGATCATATTTATATGACGACATCTGCATAAAATAATAGTAAATAATATTGCATACACAGATATTTATATGACACGCGATGAAATAATAATAAACTTTATCAGAAATAATTACATTTGTTAAATTTTATAATATCTTCATAATTGTATTTTCTTTCTCTTCTCATCCTCTATTTTTTCTGATTATATTTTTAAATATTATAATTCAACTTTTATCATAATTGATTATGAAATAAACCGATTAAAAATATGTAATTATATTTTTTAATTTCGATTCACTTATTTGATCGAATCTAACCAAAATAAAAACTAATCCAAACTGGTATATAAAAACCATTTTAAATTTATGTTCCACGAAACAACTCTATATGAAACAACTGAATATAAAAATTAAATAGATATACTTTTTAAGTATGTTAAAAGCATAAAATAATAATTATTATTATTAAGACAAAAAATCAAAAGTAAAATATTCCAAATCAAATTTAATTTAAATTTAAAAATCAGATAAAGATTGATTTTTTTATAAAAAAACTTGAATTCCAATGGATACAGACACTCACATATACATTGTGTTATATATATATATATAAACCTAATATATTTAATATACTTTGTTGTTGTTATTGTCATTTTGCTTAGGCTATTTGATTCTCCCTTTGGAAACTGTTCTCGCACGTTCACCTCTCCATAACCTTATTTTTTTCTTCTCCACGACCTTCAATTCTGTTTCTTTCGTCGAAATTTAAAAAGTGTTATTTAACAAAGATTTGGTTTCTTCTTCTTCTTTTTTTTGTTAACTGGTCACCCGGAGAGTTGAACCGGGGTGGTGGACGACTTTTCATCTCCACTTCAACCACCTGCTCTGCCCTCTCCGGACTTTCTTCTTCTTCTTATTTTCTTTTCCTCTTTTCTCCTACGATCGATGCCTTCTTCTATTTCTTTCCTCCTCCACATCCTTCAATTATGTTTCTTTTTTGTTTTTGTTTTTAATTAAAAAAAGTATTATTAAATTAACAAAGAATCCGGAGAAATTAGATAGGTGGGGGGTTTTCCCTTGAAACTTTCTCTGATATTTTCCCTGTAGGTTTCTCAGCTCGATTTCCTTTTGTGTTATCTGCTAGCTTTGTGTGTAGATTTGTGTGTGTTTTCTTCTCTTCGATTTATAGATTCTTTCAAGTTGGATCGAGCCTCAACGAATCTGTTGTTGGTGGGTTCCTTTTTCTTTTCTGAAATTTCCATTCTTGTTTCGAAATCCTAGGGTTTTCATCCTGAATTCTCATCATCGATCGTCTGCAAGTGATTGATTCAATTTGTTCCATGGAAACATGGTGAAATATATAACGGTGAGGATAACGGTGCATTTGATAGGGAATAGAATCTTTGGCCTCTGAAAATGGTCTCGTTGTCGGCGTCATTGAGGCTAACGACGCATTTGATAGGGGAAGCATAACTGTAAAGAAGCACATTCGTTATAGTGAGACCAAGTTTATGGCAGAGACATAATTCCAATTGTGAATGTATATAGAAATACCTGAGTGTGACTGATTTATCCGAGGCAAGCCGGTACTAATCCTTTGAATCCTTCCACCAGAAATTCTGCTAAACCTCAGATGATTATTTCATATAATCATGCAACAATTTAAAATCATGCAAAACCAGATGAAGGATGTTCTCCTTCTACCCGTGATATGGCGATTTCCACATCACTTGCTTTGGAGAATATTGCAGGATTTGGAGCCATATTATCTGAGTATATATTTGGGAGAATTCAATGTAATAAATGTGATTATGAGTTGAGTAATGAATACCACGTTTTACAATCTTCCGTTTTTTTTTAATTTATAATTGTAATTTTCCTACCCACTAACTATCAATTAATGCAATAAATTACAATTATGGTTGCATTTTTCAATTACTCTCCGAAGGTTTTTTAATTCGATGAACCAATGAAAATTTAAAAAGTATCCATATAGGACGCTGATGTATCCTCACCAGATTCTTTCAAATCCAACTTTTTTTATATATATAGATTCTTCAGAAAAACTGTACTTTGAGATTATACGTGCTCTAGGGTTATACTAAAAGAAGCCCGTCTTTTATTTGGGCCTTCTGTAGGCCCATCAACATTTTTGCTCAAGGCCCATTACAACTCATCAAAGCATGTGATGTAAGCTAAGCTTCAAGGAAAATCATGTTTTAAAAAACAGAGATCTTTTACATACATACACATGTATATGTGTAAACATGCATACATCATGTTTCAAAGAGACCCTGTACATACATACATACATATGTATATGTATCATATTTCAAAGAGACCTTGTACATACATACATGCATGAATGCAAGCATATATATATATATATATATATATCAGGTGCAAGGGACAAAACAACACACGAAGAAAACTTTAAAGTTACATAAACTTCCACCACTTCCAACAAACTTTTAAGTTGGAACAGTTTTGGTTTAGAGTCACTGTCGGAAACCGATTTGGTTGAGAGCCTCAGAGATATGCTTCATAGTCGGCCTCTTCTCAGGGCTACTACTAACGCACGCCATTGCTATCTTCAACACTGAGATGATCTCCTCTTCCACTTCCTCTGCATTGTCCTCCTCCAAAGACCGATCCAATATATCCGCCATCTCCTTCTTCTCCTCGATACACATCTGAATCCATTGAACAATACCCATTTCAGAATTTCCCACGCTAACAACCGGTAACCTTCCGGTTATCATCTCGAGTAAAATCACACCGAACGAGTAAACATCCCATTTCTGAGACGGTTTAACTGCTTTCATGGCTTCTGGCGCTTGATAGTACGATCCCAGTTTGGATGCTCGGTCTTGTGATTGCTCATCGGTTACCACTCTGTTTGATTCTGAGGTCGGGGATCCTACAGCGATGTTGGAGAGACGGACAAGTCCAAAATCAGATATATGAGGCTCCATATCGTGCCCGAGAAGAATATTGCTCGGTTTGAAAGATCCATGAACGTACTTCTTGGGGCTGAACTGATGAAGATAGACCAACCCTCTTGCTATTCCCTTGATAATCTTCATTCTAACCGGCCAAGACAGTGGCTTGAATGCCACCCTTCCTAAAATCATATCCAAAAAACCGTAAAAGGAAATACACAGATTATATAGTTTTCAGGGTTATCTAAGGTATCGAGGGTTTTTACCGTGGATTGCATTGGCAAGACTTCCATTAGGTATGTAGTCATAGATGAGAAGCTTCTCCTCCACGGACCAATAATAAGCTCTGAGATTTACAATGTTTGGATGCCTCAGCTCTCCAATGGCTTCAACTTCTGTCTGAAACTCCTTATACCTTTGAGATCCTCCTCCTCCCAATCTCCTTACAGCGACAGTTAACCCGTCTTCAAGGACAACCTTGTACACAACCCCATTCCCGCTCTTACCAA